CCCACCCCCCTAGAAAAGGTCAATGTTTTTGAAAACGTAGATTCTTGTACACCCGATTGATCAATCAATCAATCAATCAGTCAATTAGACAATCCATCGATCCATCGAACTTTGGCCATTCTCTTCAATTAATGTTTGTTGGCATTCTAGTTCTGACGACACTCTTCCGTGGCTGAGTTCAATCAATGCAATACAATCGATCGATCAATCAATGGATCGATCAATCAATCAATCAATCAATCAATCAATCAATCCATTAATCCATCGATCAATTGATTGATTGATTGATTGATTGATCGATCGATCCATTGATTGATTGATCCTTTGATTGGTTGATTGATTGATCGATCCATTGATTGGTTGATTGATTGATCGATCCAGTGGTTGCGATTGATTGACTGATTGATGGGATGAGGTGAAAGCGAGTTTTGGATGTGGGGGAGGCATTGGCTGTAACAAAAGTCGTGCTTGCTTTTGTGCTTCGATCTTTGTAGGATGCTGAAGCATGCCAGAGAAGGTGTGAAGAAGCACTTCCTGGACTTGGGGCCAAATGGGCCAGTTGGTAAAGGAAACAGGAGCAAGCAGTGCAAGTACTGTGAGAGGCCCGTCGTTGGCACTGCGAGCAGAGCCAGGGACCACTTCCTCTTGGCTAGATGCAATCTCGGGCCGTTGAGAGCGAGATTGACCAAAGAGGAGCTGCAAGAGAGGGAAAGGGGGACGAATGTTGCAATTGCAGAGGTTGGGGGGGGTGTCGGACTTGTTGACGAGCACTCAAAACAGGATGATTGTGAGGCAAGCAAGGGGGAGGCACGAGAGATGCCCCCACGCAGTGTCGTGGGGCGTCTGGATCGAGGACTGGGATGAACCAGTCCTTGATCAAAGACACTGCCACCATCGTTACGAAGAATGGGGAGACAACGGACAATTGACGATTGGATGACCGCACACTGCATCCCCTTCAACATGATGAAGAGTGAGGAGTGGGACAACATGGTGAAGGCATTGATGAATGCGCACGAGTCCAAGTACGCGAGATACGAGAAGTCGAGGACCACTCGTGTGGAGGGTTGCAGCAAGGATGGAGGAACTGTGGCGGCAGTGGTCTGTCATCGGTTGCTTGCTGCAAGTGGACGGTTGGATTGATCGCAAAGCAAGGCCTCACATCAATGTGATGGTGTCCTTCCCAAAAGGCGCGATCTTTTGGCATAGTGTCTGCATGAGCAATCAGAGCAAGGGGGTGATTGCCTATTATGAAATATTAAAAAGGGCAATTGAGGAGGTCGGGGAGGATGTTGTTGTGGGGGTGGTCATGGACAATGCCACGGTGGGCGCATCGGCAGGTTGGATGATCGAGGCCGAGTTCCCTCACATCTTCTCGACTCCCTGCACGGCGCACAACATCGACCTCATGCTGGAGGCATTCACCAAAATTGGTTGGATCGATGTGACGATCAAGCGAGCAGTCGAGGTTGGCAAATTCTTCACCAACCACACACAAGTGAGGGACCTGTTGCTCTCCAAATTGAGCGGGGAAATTATGGCAAAACCGGGTGCAACCCAGTTCGCCACAAATTTTATCGTGTTGAACAGTCTGCAACGCCTCTACCTACCTATTCGATCCTGCTTGATCGATGAGGCGTAGAAGGAGAGTATCGTCCTCCCTACATAGCGCCATTTGTTCCACGCAGCCAACGAGATTATCCTCGACAACGTGTTTTGGGCTGGTGTGCAGAAGGTGTTGGAGACCTTGAAGGGCCTGCTGAGTCTTTTGAAGTTTGTGGACGGGGATGGCCCCACGATCAGCAAAATACATGGCCCCATGGACACTTCGGTGGAGAATTTGAGAGACAACAAAACCTTCATGGAGGTGGAGAAGGATGAGTTGGAGACCATCATCATGCGATGATGGAATGTCCTGACATCTCCACTGCATTGCACAACGATGTTTTTGGATCCTGAGTACAAAGCCAGCAAGCCGGAGCAAGATCTCGAGGTCGCAGACGGGTTTTGGACGTGGGTGTACGCTGCATGCAAGCGAGCAATGTACATCGAGGTGGATGATGAGGTAACAATTGGATCTATGGCATCCGCAAGTTCAGGTTGGTGAAGGCGACGCAAGAAGCACGCGGGATGCAACCTGCATGACGGTGGAGGAAATGGTGCAGTGAGCTGCCCCACCTCCAAAGGCAAGCAATCCGGTTGCTTGGCCAGAGCTCCTCCTCGAGTTGTGAACGGAATTGGAGCCTTTTTTAGCGCATCCACTCCCACCCACGAAACAGGCTCGAAACAGTGAAGCTGAGCACCTTGGTGTACAATAGATGGAATCAATATTTGTTGAAGAAGTTGACGAAGAAGCCCAAGACAGGAATGGATAAGCTATTGTGGGAGGAGGATTTGGACCTCGAGAAGGAGGTCCAAGCGCATGTGGACATGGATGTGGAGGAGTGGCGGTCCCGTTTATGGAAGGAGAATAGAAGAAGGGAATGTGATTATGACTCGGAGGAGGATGACAGCACGGAGGACAATGATGACGATGTCGCAGATGCGGTTGAGGCAGAGGAAAATAATGGAGACGAAGGACAAATGGTACACACACGAATCGAGGGCAGTCTCCTTGAGCTTGAGCGTGAGTTGAACGATTCTTGGCGGAAATCAATGAAAGCGTCCAAGTATTTTGCTCGCCTTCATTTGGGGGAGTTGCAGGAGGTTGCGAATACCATGAATAAGGTATATGCCTAAACATTTTTTGCTGCCTGGCCGAAGGCGTCAGCATTGGCACCAAAACTGGCCAAACATAAACCAGGGAGGGCACAAAAGGTTGTGGAGGAGGGGGCTGCAATCGAGGATAGTGGTGGTGCCAATGAGAATGTTGCGGAGAAGGAATAATGTGACTCCCAAGAGCAGCCCGTTGGTCCTGCACCCAAACAGGCGAAACGCAAGTCGGGGAGACCACGGAAGGTCGCGGAAGAGGAAAATATTGCAATGGAGGAGAGCGGCGTGACTGGCGAGAATGGTGTGGAGGGTCGGGCGGGGGACGCCTTTGATTCCGAAGAAGAGTCGCTTGCACGCAAGAAACACAAACAATCAGAGTCAACAGACTGAGGCGAGATACTTGGGGTTGGAGCGGGTGTGGAACTGACACTTGGGGGCTGGAGTGGGTGTGGAACTTCATTGTGTGTGTGTGTCATGTGTGTCGGTTCAAGATTCCAAGTTCCAAACTTTGAGATTCAAAGAACTTCGGGCGTTAATAAACTGAAGTTACTTGACATGTCCAATATGATTGATATCGAATTCATTAGCATGTCCGACCAGTCCCACAAACCTGTGTGTGTCTGTCCTTTTTTTTTTTTTCGAACAACCGGACATCAACACAGCAAACCAGATTGTTCGGGTCCGTATGTTTGGATGTCCGGTTTGATCCAGACATAGGTCCGGAGTTCATGTTCGGTTGTCCGGTTGTCCGGGTCCGGGGCAACCATGATAAATATATTAATAAATGAGGAGGTGGAGGAGAGTGAAGAGAAACAAAGTTTTGGATTTTTCAAAAATTTCGGCAGCATTTTGTTACCCCCATGGGGCCGAAGTGTGTCGTCAAGAAAATGACCAAGTAAAATGGAAAACTTTTGCCAACACTTCGCTACCCCCAAGGGGTCAAAAGGTGCTGGAAAAAGAGAGTAGTGAGAAAAAGAGAAAATTTTGGCAGCACTTTGTTACCCCTAAGTGGTCAAAATGTGCGCCGATAGCTGAAATAACAGTCTTAACAAGATATAAAGGTGCCGCAAAAAAATTCAAATTTTCAGAATGCACCAACACGAGTTGAGACGCAAAGTTGCGATGGCGCTTTCACGAGGGCACGACAGGTCAATATTCTTTGTGGCGATGGCGCTTCTTAGAGGCTTCCGTGGATGTGGAGACAGGAGGGGCGTGTGGTTTGAGTAGCCACGTGGCATAGGGTTATAACGCCACTCCTTCTGTCTTCTGTATTCAATCTCTGTCTCTCGCTTCTCTAGTTCTTTGTTGTCATGGGTCGTTGGATCTGGACTGAATTCTCTGTGAAGCTATGTTGACAAGCTTGACATGGTCATTCACAACGCAACCACGCTCGGGGAGTAAAAGGGAGGCGGGGGCGTCCCAGAATCTCTTATGGTTGGTGCACTTTGTTGTAAGGCTATACTAGCACCAGTTGTGGGGAGGAGGAGTGGCTCCTCCTATAGGAAGAGGCAGGGGTTGGGTTTGGTCTGGGCAGCGGTTGGGAAGCTGGATAAGGGGACTGCGGGAGCGCAGCGGTGCGTGATGGTCTGCAGTGATTGGTGATTTCAGGTAAAGTTCAAGGCGGCATCACGTAGCGACGGAAGCTCTGAGTGCAACATTTTTCAGAATTTAACCCTAAAGTACTACTCCGTTAGATGATTTGATGGTTATGGACGTCTCATTGCTGTTTTGATATCTCCTGATATTTTTTGATCTCGACATCCGATGGATGATCTGTAAATCTGATTTTTGTCCGATTGTTGTCTGATTCTCAATTCGTAATTTCCTTTTTTCATAAATTGATGGTCGACTTTTTTGTTCTGTACTCATATAACCATCTAATTTAGTCTTCAGATTACAACATGTGGTAAATTTTCTGACCTACTTTCTGTCTCAAATTCCCAAAGAACAATTTTAGTCGGGTATTTTAATTCGTAAAATCTTAATACTTGCAGGCAAGAAATTCATATGTATACTTTGATGTTGATTTTCAAAAAAACTATCGAAAATTGTCATGTTTCTATTTTCTAATTTGTCATGATTCGATCTTCTAATTTGTCAATGATTCGTGATGAACTCTACCTAATCTAATGATTTTGGTTACTCTGAAGATTTGTTTTAAACTTTCAAACTTTTACGTGATTTTCCATGTTCCAATTAGTGTTTCTGATAAGGCTTCTCTCATTAGAGACTGTTAGCAAATCTTCTTAGGTGAGCATGTTGCTGTCATAATTGTGGATCTGCGGTTTGCTGCTTGGAGGATGTCGGTCGGAGTTGGGGTGAGTTGTGTTGCCCTGTAACCTAGTGGTGGGGGTGTGAGGCTGGGCAGACTCGGGCGGAGAGTATGATTGCGTTGGTGAGCCTGAGTAGGGTTGTTATAGTCTCCTTGACTTTTCTGCAAATTGTCCACTAGGTATTTTTTAGCCAAAAAACATACGATTAAGGGAAGCACATTATTCGCACGGATGGGTGGAAGTTCGTAGGGGGATGTAACAGGGGAAGGGTCTTAGTCTTCGTCAGCAGGTCAGAAGGACGTGGGTGGGACGACGCAGGCCGGTGCTGGAGTGTTGCTCTGTAACCTGGGGGAACGTGAGGCTTGGGGAGCTCTGTCAAGGGAGGAAGGCAGAACCACCACGTTCGACGCAACCGTTGCTGGGGTTTTATCCCTGTCACTTAGGGGTGTGCGGCTAATGGGAGTTGTCGAGGGAGGAAGGCACTCCTTGCCGTCTATACCAGGCTAGTCGGTAATGGGGCATGGTGGTCCCCTGTATCCCTAGCAAAAGGGGTTATGAGACCAGCCGCGTTTAGGTTCGGGGACTGATCACGGGGACTTTGTTTTTTCAATTGCTGCATGGAAGTTTGCTAGTCAGTGGTTTCGGTTTGGATTTTTTGCTTTCAATTTGTTGTATGTCACTCGTGTCCTATCCATTTAAAAAAACAACAACGAGCGATGTGTCCGGATATGGCTATCCTCTAGAGGTTGTGATCGTTCTCGATGGTTGTGGTAGAACGCTTTTAGGCTCTTGGGACTCCTTGCAATTTCCTTGAGGCGATTTTTGATGTTGTTTTATTCATGGACCTGCGGTTGTTCGATGCCAGAACGACGCTGGCCGGTGTTGGGGGGTTGACCCTGTAACTTGTTGACAGCAGGAGCTTGAGGCCTGGTAGAGATATCTGGGAATGCCTAGGGGGGGCATTTCAAGGGACAATCAAGGGTTCCAATCGAAGACGATGCTGGTCGGATTCGGGGTGAGTTGCCTTGCCCTGTAAACTGTAGTGGGGGTTAGAGGCTTGGTAGAGCTTGGTAGGGAATAAGATAGTGTCTGAGGACTTCGAGGGTGTTAGGACCCTGTGGCGCTTTAGAGTGTTTGAAGACGATTGCTGGGATTTTTGCTGGTGGATAGTCTCCCAAATTTACCTCAAATAGTATTGATTTTTGTTAAGAAAAGAGAGAATGGTTTAGGATTCTGGGGACTTCTAGCAACTCGCTTTACGCTGTTTGATACTGATGCGTTCATGGATCTGCGGTTGTTCGATGCCAGAACGACGCTGGCCGGTGCTGGGGTGTTGCCCTGTAACCTGCTGATTGCAGGAGCGTGAGGCCTGGCAGAGAGAGATGGGGATGCTTTGGGGTGGGCATTCCAAGGGACAACCAAGGGTAGCTGTTAGGACGACGCTGGCCGGAGCTGGGGCGAGTCGTGTTGCTCTGTAACCTAGCCAGATGGGGGTGCGAGCCCTGCGAGAGCTCGACAGGGAACTCCTAGCAACTCATTTTAGGAGGCTCAATTGCTGTTATACTCAGTGATCTGTGGCTGGCCGATGCCAGAACGATGCTGGCCGATACTGGGGTGTTACCCTGTAACCTGCTGATGCAGGAGTGTGCGGCCTAGTAGAGAGATCTGGGAATGCTTTCGGGGGCATTCCAAGGGACAACTAAGGGTTGTTGTTGGGACGACGCTGGTCGGAGCTGGGGCGAGTCGTGTTGCCCTGTAACCCAACAGGGTGGGGGTATGAGGCCTGGAAGAGCCGGCATGGAGTAAGACACTGTTGGAAGAATTTTAGAAGGGATTGCTAGGGATTCTTAGGGTTTTGAGCATTTGTAGGACCTCTGTGGTGGCGATCTTTTCTAAAAAAGTTAAGAATTTGTGCAGTTTAGAAGGAAACTTCTCTTTTTTTTTCTCCTCATATTCTTTTAGATTTTTTCAGACCTTTTCTGAATTTTAGCCTATCTCGTGGGGTTCTTCATCGAATAGGCTAGTAATTGATCATGATCCTATTTTCAGACAAAACCGGGTAAAGAGTCCCGGTATCTCAAAGTTTTTCTGTATATGTTCTCAAACATGTTTCATGTTTCAAATGGGACGCTGGGCCCGGTTCCCAGCACGTGCGGCTCCCCACGAATAGATTGGGATTAATCGATGCATTTAGAGTAACACACCCCAACGACCATGGGTTCACTTGGCACCCGGCGAGTCGAGGCCGGGTGGCCCCTGGCCAAATAAAGATCCCCCCAAGTAGCCAGCGCCGAATCAACATGGTCTTTGTAAAAGTTGCCGCCAGGGAGACCCTGTTGTCAATCAACCTAGTGACTGACTCTATGTCAGATCATTACCCCATCCTTGCACGCTTTGCCCCAGGGCCTTGTATCGATAGGGAACGTGGATACTTTAGATTAAACATTGAGAATCTAAATGATCCAGGTTTCGTTCAATGGGCCCAACACCAGAATGAGGCATGGCAGTCCACAAAGGACATGTTCCCATCGAAAGGGGAGTGGCTGACCACGGGCTTGAGAATCATATCGAAAGGTCTATCAGTTCTCTCCATAATAAAAGCCTTTCAAAGGAACGAGGAGGAACGGATCTGCGGACAGAAAATTGAAGCAGCAGAGGCGGAAATGGGGAGATACCTGGTCTCTGATGTGTATTGGTCCAGAGAGAGAATTCGATGGTTGCTCAAATGGGAAGAAATACAGATAACAAAACAGAAGACTTGGCAGGATCATTGTAAAGTGTTAGAAATGGGGAAACTAGACTGCATGACGAAAGAGACTTTTGCCCTAGTGAACAGACAGACCACGCAGCACCGGATAATGAAGGAACTCACGCATCCCTTTGATCCAAATCTCCGCAAGACTCCGGAGACAATGGGGATGTGTGAGTACACTATCACATACTTTCGTGATGTTTTAACATCACGAAGACCATCGGAGAAAGTGGATCTGGATCTAACCACGACATCAACCTTCTGGGAACACACAACAACCAGAATTATAGGGGAAGGCAGGCTAGCTTTAGACAGACCAACTACCAAGGAAGAACTAACACATGATGCCAAACAAATGGCGAAAGGAAAAGCCCCGGGGGAAGATGGGCTGCCCATCGATTTTTTTCTGAAATTTTGGCCCCTTTTTAGTGAAGATTTAGTCCATATTTATAACGAGGCATTAGTGGGAACAAAACTTCCCGCTAGTATGACTAAAGGGATCATTACTCTATTGTGCAAGAAAGGGGAGAAGACTAACATTCGAAACTGGCGTCCAATATCCTTGTTGAACACTGTGTATAAGCTTCTAGCGAAATCTTTAGCTATCAGGTTAGTGGGGTATCTACCGACTCTAGTGAGTGTAGATCAGGGTGCATTTGTAAAAGGAAGATCGATTTTGGATAATATTGTCACTGTGATTGAGTCAATGGAGATAATCACAGAAGAACAATTAGATATGACAATTGTTCTCCTTGACCTGGAGAAAGCCTATGACAGAGTTAGTTGGCCATTTGTCCTGTCCACTCTACGTCATATGGGCATTGGACCAAACTTTTGTGAATGGGTTAAAACCTTGTACTTCCATGCAACTGCATCCATCATGATCAACGGTAGAATCTCACCCTCCTTCCCACTGATCAGATCAGTACGACAAGGATGTCCACTGGCGCCACTGCTTTTCGTTATGCAGATGGATGTGTTGCTCAATAAAGTAAGGTGCAACCCCTACATAGTTGGTCTGCATACTCGTGGTCACTTACAGTTCAAAGGAAACGCGTTAGCAGACGACCTCACAATTGTGTCTAATAACACGGCAAACTCACTCAGAGCGGTTAAGGAGACATTAGTAGAATATTGTGCACTTAGTGAGGCTCAAGTCAACTGGTCAAAATTGATGTTTTTCTTGCCGGAACAGTTTGAGATTTGTGTAGACTTTGGGATGAAAAAAATTCCCGCTGATTCTTCTGAAAGGTTTTTGGGTGTACAAGTATCCTTACAGAACTGTGCGGAGACGCAGGACAGGATTCTGGTTGGGAGGGTGGAACAGCGATTGCTGAGGTGGAAGACCATTTATGGCCTATCACTATTTGGCAGAGCCCTGATAGTGAATGCGGCAGTATTTTCCCAACTCTGGTACTCAGGAGTTGTCAAGCCCCTTGGGAAAAAGCCTGAAAGAGACATCAGAACAGCGGCCTCAAGATATATCTGGAAACCGGATGCAGAGGAGAATAAGGCCCACATGTCCAAGATATCATGGGAGAAGCTTACTGCACCACAGGAAGAAGGAGGCCTTGCCGTGCTGGATCCAGTTCGCCAGAACAAAGCCCTGCTTGGCAAATGGTCCATAAGAGTTGCCCTTAACGCAGAAGATCGCAGCTGGGTTGCACTGGCGGAATACATCCTGGCCAAATCCTGGGGCCTGTGTAGAGGGGAAGATGTTGTGATGTTGGCTCCATCATACCAGCGAAGGAGGCCGAAATCCCCCTTCTCGCAAGGAGTAATCCAGGTTTGGAAGACCCTCGCACTAGCATCGCTGAAGGAACCTCAAACGCGAGATGAGGTACTGCGACAGCCTCTTTTTGAAAACCAGTGGATAAAGAAGGGGGATGGGTCGGTCTTCACGATTGCAGGACAAGGGAGCTTCGGGAGATCGTGGGTGGAAAGGGGAGTACTTCAGATCGAGGACCTGTGGGACGAGCCTCAGAAAGGGTGGAGGAGTACCTCGGACCTGAGAAGGAACCTAGGGAGACTGTGGCACATCGAAACAAGGCGGGATGAACTGATCCAAGCCATTCCTGAAGAATGGAAGCAACATTTAGGAGACTCACCTTCAACAGGCCGGTGGTACCGCCCCGTTCTCAGCGTTGGCAGGGACCCTTAAATCCTGAAGCAAGTCAGCCAAGATAAAGTGGAAGTCTGGGAGAGACAGACTAAAGATGGGTTACGGGACAATAGACGAACCTTCAAGGAGGAACGGGTGTTGAGTAGCTTTGGCATAATGGAAGAAGTGAGAGTGGTTATGCAGTTTTCAGCAGGGGGAGCAGTTCAACCTACGTTGTTCATGGACGGCACCCCGATTCGCCACATGAAGATTGATCCAGAACTGTATGGTTGGTTCAAAATGAGAGGTAAACCGAAACTGTACCAGTACAACTCCGGACTAGGGATGGGCCTTCAAAGACTGCAAGGGAGCTCGACAGTCAGAATACAGGAGGCACACCCTTATGCCAATACGGGCTCGAAACTTTCAGTGGAATACTACAGAGGAATGTGGAAGGTCTGCATGAGACTACCAAGCAAGAAGTGCGCATCAGTGTTGTGGCTTTTAACCCACTCGGCCCCGATGGATTCCGTTTCCCTGATTACCAGAGGTATGGAGATGGACGTCTGCTGTGTGAGATGCCATCGAGCTCCGGAGGACGTATCGCATCTTTGGGGCATTTGCCCTCTGTCCTTCCGTATATGGAGATGGTGGGCTCACCACTAGAAAGCTTGGGGTGGCCCTGAAGAAGTGGAATGGGATTTGGAATGGGCTTTAACGGGCAAACTACCACCTTCACTATCCAACGGCAAAGGCTGGGGCTATGTTGCGGTGACAATCCGTGCAGTGGCAATCTGGTGGATATGGAAAGAGAGGAATTCAATGCTGTTTGAAAAAAGATACTTTTCAGACACAGAACTGAAAGCCGGAATGAAAGCCACCGTCAGACACATGGTAGTCGTGGACTGGAGGAAGAAAGTATTGTCCCAATCTGCCCCGGAACGGTCTAGAGCAAGGTTGTGGTTACTACGCTCCTGGGCTAAGAAGAATCGCCTGGCAGCAGTCTCTGCATGGACCGGAAAACTGGTGTTGTCTCCTTGGCTCAAATCAGGCTATGAGTAGTAGTAGGGAGAATAAAGTTTAATACAAGTTTAGTACAAAATAAAGGACGGTCTATAGGTATCTATACCTAAGGCATCGCACTGTGGGATCTTATTGTAGCTGGTGTGATCTTACTGTAGTTGATGGGTAAGTACAGAGATACTGTCAGCGAGAGTAGTTCGTCATATAGAGGAACTTAGTTCTCAAGGCGGAACCAACCTGGTCACTCGGTGGTTCACAAAGGCCTTCAGTGAGGTAGTCATAGGCCTAGGGATCCGTCGTAGGATCGAGTGGGCCGTCTCCTAAGAGTGTCCAATTGCTGTGTGCCCCTTGAGTTTCTTGCCAGGTTGGTCTGGCTTCTAGTTTGCTGCTGCCAGGTTGGTCTGGCTCTGTCTTCTGCTTTGCTGATAAGATGTTTCTCTGTGGCCAGGTTGGTCTGGCTAAGAACTTGTGTCATTCTCCGGGTAGAATTGTGAGGTCCCCGGCCTCTTCCATGTCTATTGCTTAATAAACCAGGTGATGCCATTTAAAAAAAAATAATAATAATAATAATAATAATATAATAATAAATAAATAAATATAAATAAATCAAAAAATGAGAAAAGAAGTCGGGAGTAAGATAATTCGAACTTTTGGAGAAAAAGAGAAAATTTAAATTAAAAAGAAAGACAAGAGAAGAAAAACCTGCGCTAGGCCGCCGCCAGACCAGGCGGGCCCGGGGGATTCCACTCGAGAAATCCAGGTGGCCCCAAAACCCAGCACAAAATTGTTTTTTTTTTTTTTTGAAGGCGGGGTTTTGTTGCGCTACCCTAAAGGACCCTGAATCTGCAAAAAAAAAGTGAACTTAAGAAGAGGAAGGAGGGGAGGGGGGGGCGGGCGAGGGGGTTGAGGGGGGAGAGGGTGGGTCAGGGGTTTCAGTGGGGAGGTTCGGGTTGGTGGTTCAGGGGGTTCGGGGGTGAGGGATGGCGTTTGACAGGGGGTGAAAGCAAGTGAATATCAACTGTCTTGCTGGTATGTAAGAGACTTGTTGCGGGTGTGTATGTGTGGAAGAAAAAGAAGAACACAAAGAAAAAGAAGAAGAGGAGGACGAGGAGGAGGAGAAGGAAGAGGAGTACGGGGATGACAAGACCGAAAAGAAAAAAAAAAGGAGCCTGGAGAGAAAGCATGTCCATATTGCTCCACAAATGATTACAAAAGTCTCTCTCTCTCTCTCTCTCTCTCTCTCTCTCTCTCTCTCTCTCTCTCTCTCACACACACACACACACACACACACACACACACAAACACACACACACAC